CGCCGCGCGCCCACACGCGCGTCGCCACGCCCTTCGCCAACGAGAACCAGCCCCCGCTCGTCCCGCCCTCCACCCGCAGGCGAGCCGTGCAGAAGCTGTTCGGCGAAATCGGCGCCAACCCGCGGGCCTCCGTCTCCTCCTCCGCCGCCGGCGCCCCGCCCCCCAGGCTCCTGCCCCGCGCGTCCAGCGGGCCGGCCCCGTCCACGGGGCGCAGGGGCTACCCACGCCCCCCCACGCCCGCGCGCGCCTCATCCTGCCCCTCCTCCGCGGACGACGCCGCGTCCTGCAGCTCCACGGACACCTCCTCCACCCTGACCGACTGCTCCGAGCCTGATGGGATCCTGGTGCCCGCCGCGCCCTGCGAGAGCCCGCCGCTGCTCGGCCCGGCGTCCTGCCGCGGCGGGCGCCTGTCGTCGGAGCTCCGGTCGTCGGTTCCTGAGTCGGGCGGGTCCACGCGCGGGGCGGCCATCCCGCTGTGCCACCGATCGCTTAATTCGGCTCTCTCGAGCTGCCCGGCTCCGGCGGCGAAGGTGATGGCGGCGCCAAGGCCACCGCATCCACATGGGACGAAACTAGCGGAGATGAAGAAGGCGGCGGTCATTGGGGGGAGAAAGGTTGCCGGGAAGCAGGAGGACGTGCACCAGCTGCGGCTGCTGGACAACCGCTACGTTCAGTACAGGTTTCTGAACGCCCGGGGGGCAGAGGCGGCCAGGGCCAAGGCTGCTGCGGCGGAGGTGAGGCCTTTTTACCGTGACAGAGGATGTAGTTTGATCTCCACAATTTGAACTGAGATGCTGATGTTGTTATTGTTTTCATTTTGTTGCGTGTGAAGAACTCCCTGTTCGGACTGGCTGAGAGAATTGCTGGGCTACGAGAATCAGTCGCTGATAAGAGGGCAGAGGCTGAGAAGATCAAGAGGGATCAGAGATTGTGCTCAATTTTTGGTGGTCAGGTAACAAAAAATTTGGCACATTTTGCTTTCTGTGTATGAAGTGTCGTATAGGCTATTTTAGATAAATCTCTCGCTATCCAAGTTGAGCTATCAAAATGTTTAAATTGTGTGTGTCACATGAACGAATTCATTTCCTCACTCGCATGAGATGAAACCATAGAAGGGACATGACTCAGCATCACCACCTTAACTGTTTTGATCTCAGTTTGTCCTACTACGAACCAACTGAAGTATGACACTAAATCATATGTTGTCAATTCTACTCCCAATGGAGTACTGAAATTTTAACCTACAACTACATTCAATATGTGCCCAATGGATATTACGTGTGTGCACTAGCATCGGCACACTTAGGATGATTTATGTGTAAATTTGTTGTTCAAAATAAAAATAATAATCAGCATACATAGTGGGAAATAGAGAATATCAAGTGTGTATTTATCTTCTAGTATGTGAGAACATATGCTCTATCAAAAATTAATTTGTTCATTTGCAAAAATGTCAGGTGCCGTATTTGGATCGATGGAGTGATGTTGAGGAGGATTATTCCAGCTGCTTGACAGGGGCAACATCTGCGCTGCATAACGCCTCACTAAGGCTGCCTATAATTGGGGGTGTTAGGGTAAGATTTTGCTTTAATGTCACATTCCAGGCATAGATGGCACCAAAATATGTTCATGATGCAGATAAAATATTATGTTCTAAGACTACTCCTTGCAGGCAAACTATGAGGAAATCTCGGAAGTTCTTAACTCTGCTGCGCAACTACTGGAGCCGGCGTCGCCTCTTGTTCGAAATTTATTACCAAAGGTGAGAAAACTATCAAATAGCTGTCATGCCTAGATATGTTACTTTTTTGAAATGATTCTTTTAAATTGTGTTTACTAAATGTGTCGCAGTTTTGAATTAACCCCGGCTCAAAACTGCGACACTTATTTTGGATTGGAGGGAGTATATCTTATAGCTGATTGAAAAAAAAAATCTGCATATTGATCTTCTATGTGAGAACATATTCAGTATCAAACAACTATATTGTGGTGGATGGAGGTTGTGAAGTTCACCACCATCCAAATTCAATGCTAACTCTAAACACAAGTAGGAAGCTTTATTTGCGATTATGCTAAGCATACAAATCCATGTTCATTTGATTGACAATTGAAAGTTCACACTAAGATATGTCCATACTCCAAAGTGAACATGTATTCGCCCAAAGCTAATGTACTTGATAACTGTGAGTCGCTTCGTTGGGATAACTGTGAGTCGCTTCGTTGGCTAGCTGTGCTAGTGTCCAATGATGCCAGCATGCCGTTGCCTTTCTATAAGAAATACCAAGGGAGGCTGGTGTCATTTGTTTTTAAAACCTGTATACTTGTAAGAAATATCCAACGCAGTCATATCTGTTTGAAACCTGGAACACCAGAAGTTTTCCCAGCATTATAAATGTCTACTTATATCAATCTGGAATTTTAGACGCGCAAGTAATTTCCTTTATAGATGGCCAAATGTAAAATGTCTTGACTGGTACGAATTCTAAATGAGTTGCATTTTGAATTGGAGGCAGTATCATTTTGAGCTATTCTTGTTATATTGATGCAATCTCATTTTGCTCTTCTCATATAGGTTGAAGAAGTTGATGGTGTGGCCTCCAAACTTGCACAAATAATCACTAGTGAAAGGGACTTGATAGAAGAGTGTGGGAATCTACTAAATCAAGCACACCATATGCAGGTACAAATTTAAATGAATTTACTTGCACTCTGCTCGGAATATACATCATGTTCTTGTGCGATCCTATCTTTACCACGGAAATATCTAACTGGTTTCTTGAAAATTGCCCGTTACATAGATGAGGGAGTACAGCTTGAGAAGCCAGCTGCTGCAGTTGAGAAGTTGAAGTGAAAGCGGAGGAAGCGCAGAAAATGAACACGACACCAAGTCATATCTTCCGACCAGTGGAGCTAATTGTGCTCACCACTGGAAACATCTTCCAGTAGGAGGGAGAGGTGGCCTGATGATCATACAAAGTAAAAGGCAGAAGTATCCTTCTGCTCTTTTTTTTGTTGGCGGGAAGAAGTCCTTCTGCTGATCAAGAATTCCTGATTCTTTGTGGTATATATGGTGTTTTTGTCTTTGGCCTCTCGTTTCTGTTATCCTTGTGTAGCCATGGAAAGAATAAACTGATAGAAGCATTGCCCTTTACATAATCAAAATTCGTTGATTCTTTGTGTACTTGCATATTGCGTTGCTCAGATAGTGCTGTTATTTTCTTTTTGCTTCTGAAACAGATTCTCATTGATGGCTTGGTTGAAGAACGGTGCTCTCTTTTTTGGATAGTTTGGCATGCACACGTGCAGTGTTTTTTGCCTCTTTAAATATCTTTTGGATCTTCCCAGTCAAGTCGCTGGGCAGGGCACCCATCAGTGGATGTCAAAAGAACACTTGCAAGAAGTATCCAAACACTTTGGTGGTGTCTGTTGCCTTCGACCGAGGTGTTCTCCTTTGTGATGTAGAAGTATGGGCAGGGCACCCATCAGTGGATGTCAAAAGAACACTTGCAAGAAGTATCCAAACACTTTGGTGGTGTCTGTTGCCTTCGACCGAGGTGTTCTCCTTTGTGATGTTGGGTCAACTGTGTGTATGTGGTTTTGTTTGTATTGTTTGTTAATTAACTAAACAATTCTCTTTTGCTTAATTATTACTTCCTCCGTTCCTAAATATAAGTCTTTTTAGAGATTTCAAATAGACTACCACATACGAATATATGTAGACATATTTTAGAGTTTATATTCACTCATTTTACTCCATATGTAGTCACTTGTTGAAATCTTTAGAAAGACCTATATTTAGGAACGGAGGGAGTATAATCAATGAGAAATGAGACAAAGCTTTTATCTCTGTTTCAAAAAACGAAGAAGCATCTGGGCCCAACTAATAACCGGAGAAATTGAGACCATGGTGACCAATTGCGAGAAAATATGTGGAGCCCTACTCGATGAGACTGTGATCTTGGATCCAGCCTCGTAGACAAAACATCGCAGAGAGCTTGCTGAAGACGTTAACTTCTTGGCTAGGATCGTTCCATGAATGTTCTCATCGGTTCGAGAAGGGCAAAGGCGCAAAAACTTTTATGAACTCATGTAGTGGGAACAATTATAGCCAATGACAACTCGCGTATATCAACACTCGACAAATCTCAATTAGGGCAAAAACTATCGTCTAGATCGCAGGGCACAAGATGGCAGACAAAACTACATGTATCTATGCTCACACCAACAAGAACAGCAAGTGAAGGAACGATGCCTATGCCGGTGGCGTTCACTCTAACGATTGATCACTTTTTTTTAGAAGATCTAATGATTGATCATTGAACCGCGTATAAGAGCTTGCTCGGCCTAATGGGCCGCACGAACTATCTGATGGGTACAAATTGCTCGCCCGGTACTTCCCTGGCCCTCATGACGAAGTATCGGCGCAAGCCATCGTTCAGCTTAAATTGTGTGTTTTTAGGCAGTTTAATTGATATGTTCATAAATATTAAAAAAATAACCAATTTGAAAACAAATCACGAATTTAAAAATGTTCCAGAATCCAAAAATACATAAATTAAAAAATGTTTAAGATTTCAATAAACTATTCATGAATTTAAAATCATTTTCTTCATTTTGTCACTTTATTTCCCTTTCCTTTTTAATTTTCACTTTATTTAAATTCATGATTTTTTAAAACCCGTGAACTTTCTGAACTAAATATTTTCCAAATTTATGAACTTTTTAAAAGTCCATGAACTTGAAAATTCAGAAATTATTTCAAATTGAATATTTTTTAAATTCATGATCTTTGTAAAAATCTATGAACTCTTTGAAAACTCATAACCTTTTTTCAAAATCATTATTTTTTAAAATTTTTGAACCTTTTCCAAATGCACGAACTCCTTTTAAATTTATGAATATATTTCAAATTCATGAAATTTTTAAAAATGAACGAACATTTTTTAAATTAGCATTTTTTTACATTTTAGTACATGCTTTTTAATCTATAAGAGATAAATATGTTTTTGTTCTTAAACCAGAGGTGCTAGCAAGCAAGCAGTCTTTTTTTATATAGCTAGCGAGTGATAAGCTAATGAGAGAGCGATCCAACTTTTTTGCGGTAAGAAATCACACCAAGCTTTATTAGGTAATGGTAATGTTCATAAGTACAAGAACTGGATCATGAGGGTGACCCAACCACACATGGCAGCCTAGACCTAACATATTAGCATGCTTAGCAAGATTATGAGCTTCAAAATTGAAGTTCTCGCACTCGTGTACATAATTGCAAGACTCAAAGTTCTCGATTTTTTTTGGCAATACTCAAAACCAATCTTCCGGCTTGCCGTCTCCCTGAGCACCATAAGGGCCACCGGTTCCTTCTTAAATATCTTCTACCACACCCTTGCAATCGTCAGCGAGTGCCATAGCTTTCTCGATGCCCCTTCCACCGAGGCGATGTCATTGCAAAAAATGGTATGATGCTTGCAGACCAACTTGGATGTTCCAATATCACTTTTGAATCAGACTGCCTCGAAATTATCTTAGCATGCAAGGGGGAAGTGGACATTATGAGTCCTTATTCGGCGATTTTGAGTGACTGCTTTATATTAGCTCAAAGAATTGGGTCAGTATCTTATGCTCATTGTCCAAGAGGGGCAATTTAAGTGGCACACAAGTTAGCTAGATGTTGTTACGATTCTAATTCTGTAATCTCGTGGGATAATGATCCTCCACAGTTTATTCTAGCTGAACTTGTTTCTGATGTATCCCTTATTTGAGTTGAATAAAGTGTGCCACAAGTTCAAAAAAAAAGCAAGAGCTTGGACTAGAGTAGTTTTTTTTAGCCAAAGTTCTTTTTTTTTTGACAGGCAGGACTAGAGTAGTTTTGTTTGGGCTCCCAGCAGCTGCTCCAACAGGAGCCCAAACAAACAGCCCTTTCTGGGCCGGCTCCCAGCAGCAGCTTCGCGGGAGCGCTCCAGAAAAACCATCTCCCGCCCCGGCTGAACGACACAACCATCTCCCGTTAGGGTTCCTCACTCCCGACCGGCGCCGCCACCTGCCCCCATCTCCGGCCGCCACCGGAGTCCCTTCCCTCCTCCCTGAGCCGCCCCCTCCCGCTGCCGAACGCACGGGTGCTACCGACTCCTGAGATCACCGGCGCCCACGTCTTGCTTGGCCACCTACGGCCCGAGCCGAAGCTCCGACCGCCGCCGCCGCTTGCGATGGAGGCGCTCCGGGAGGCGACGGCCGAGCTGACGGTGTACGTGCACCCCTCCAACGCCGCCGACGTCCGCTGCGCCGTCTCCCGCCAGCTCAGCACCCTCCTATTCTCGTACGTCACCCTCCCCACCGCTCCTTCTCTCGGTATCGCGATGCCCCGTGCGTGCCCCAGTATAGCGTTGCAACGGTGCATCTTTGGGCGCCGGTTTGGGTAGAGAGGTGTAAATTTGCGGGGGAAACAGCATGTGAACAACTTGGATAATGGGCATTGCTGTTCAGGTATGAAGATCGCTTTGATGGCGTGTTGCTATCACATGAAGTTGAATTCGAAGGTGACAACGAAGATGACCAAGACAGAAAAGTTGACGGAGACGGGAAAAAGGTTATCAACGCCAAAATCCTGGATGGTCTGGTACCATATTTTGGCGTACCGGTGACTGCGAACCTGCTGCTGTTTTCTCCCCAGCCAGAGATGATACTAGGTAGGTGAACACATAACTCTTCTCAACATCGCTCTTTCGACGACCTCATATCTGCACGTCAGCTATATGAGATCGTGCGCATTCAATTGTAGTAGAGCGCGTCAGTGCATTTTTCAATGGCTGAATTTGTATGTCATCTCTTGTTTAATCGAGAGAAAGGGAAATTTATAGACACTGGCACTAGTCCCAGCTCCAATTGTTACCATGTCATAACTGCAGTGCTATTTCTGAAAATGCCACTAGTCTCAGCTCAAAGTATTTTTACTGAGCTGGC